AGCCATTAACTCTTCCTTTTTTTTTTTTTTTTTTGTTCTTTTAAGGGGACTAATTCAATGATAAAAAAATCACGCCCAAAAAAAAAAAAAAAAAAAGAAGTCTGGTAGTCTCAACATACCTCTGTGTCATCTTGGCCATTCCCTTTAGCTCCAAAGTCATCAACACTAAACACTGGTTGTTGAACCGGAGGCCCCCCTTGGTGATTATTATCGTTTCCTGTTGTTGAACCGAAGGCGCAGTGTCGTTTTTCCCTCCTTTGTGATTACCATCATGTACTGGTCGTTGAACCGGAGGAGGCCTAGTGGGGCCCCCTCCTTTGTGATTATTATGGTGTCTTATGTGATGGTGACTTCTGTGATTGTGATGGCGTCCTCTGTGATGATTATTATGGTCTCTTGATCGTTGAACCGGAGGCCTAGTGGCGTGTCCTAGTTGTTGAACAGGAGGAGGTGCAGTGTCGTTTTTCTCTTGTCCTGGTTGTTGAACCGGAGGTGGCGCAGTGTCGTTTCTCCCTTGTCCTGGCTGTTGAACATGAGGAGGCGCAGTGTCGTTTTTCTCTTGTCCTGGTTGTTGAACCGGAGGTGGCGCAGTGTCGTTTCTCCCTTGTCCTGGTTGTTGAACATGAGGAGGCGCAGTGTCGTGCGGAGGTGGTTGTTCAACTGGAGGCGGCACAGTGTCGTTTTACCCTCCGTTGTGATTACCATCATGTACTGGTGGTTGAACCGGAGGAGGAGGCGTAGTGTCGTTTTCCCTTCCTTCTTGGGCATGGGGACAGGGTGGGGAAACGACACCGATATCAGTCAACTCAACGTTCTTGCACGAAGCTTCAGCCTTCAGCCTCGTGTTTTCCACGATGTTGTCGTATATCAATGTCTTCCAACACAATGTTCTCACACTTGAAGGTCCTGCTACAATCGAATTTTATTGCAACTTTTGTAGCACTTGTGCCCGTGATGTTTCTGTACACTATGGACCCCTGAGTTCTGTTGATAATTGTAACATCATTACTAAATGAAATATGAATTTATTATATAAATGTATATAAATTAATGTGAAGCTTATTATAAAGATAAAGAATAAACAAAACTTTTTTACCTGTTCTTTGCATGGTTTTTTCACATCGCAGTAATGTTGGTCTATTATGATGGGGTTGTCCGCGTTATTCAATTCAATGTTAAGGAATTTGATATTATTTGCACTTCCTGAGGCTTTGTTCATTTTGCTGATTCGAGTTTATAATTCGAGTTTTGCTACAGTAAAAAACTCTCACAAACAATCACATCTAACTTTTTTACTACAGTAAAAAACTCTCACATAAAATCACATCTCTACTCGAATTAAAAATTCGAATCAGCGAACTAAACGGGTCCTGAACCTCTTTGCATTTTGACGCCACGTCACACACATGAAGTTAGCACATTGTTTTCTATAAATACTACGAAATTTGTGAGAGTACATGTATTTGATTTGAAATTTAGTGTGATTCTTTTTGTTTTTTTTTTTTAACCTGCCAAGTCTTGATTCTAACTCCATTTGTAGTGTGAGAAAACTGGGCTCCGTCTACTATTATATCCGATACATGGGCTCCGTCTATTATGAAGGAAAAAAAAAGAGCATTATTCAAAATATTCAAGTACAAAAAGTTATATAAATCATGGAAAAAAAAAAAAAAAAGTTATCAAAAGAGGGATGAGGAAGTTACCTGACTCACAAAAATATACATAGATATATTAGGAATATAAATCTTTAAACATGCGTAATTAATAATAAATTAGATGTGTGTATATATATATATACCTATTCCTATAACAGAGTTAGAAATCTAAGGGGTTATTCTTTTAGAGTGTAATTTGAGTGTAATTTTTAAGTTATAATTTGAGTTGAAGTTGTAACTTAAATAAAGTTGAGTGAAGTTGAATAAAGTTGAAAGTTGAAAGAACGTGAACTTGAATAAAGTTGAAACTTTAGTTCTCTTTTTTTAAAATTTTTGGATAAAAGAACATGCCCTCAATGTCTCGCTATGTGTGATATGGATTCCATCGGTGTTGGGAAGCCGAAGCTCTAACTTTCTTGCACTTCTCAATAGCAACATGCTGTTGTGGTGAATTTCTGAGGTCTTTATAAAAATAACTCAATAAAAAAGTTTTATTAATAAAATAATTTTTTTAAAATTTTTATTTATAAAATGACTAAAGAACGATCAGGAACGAATATTTTTTATAAAGAAAATAATCGGGTGATCATTCTTCATAAAAAATAAAGAGATCATTTTATTAATTTCACTTTGTTAATAGT